GCGCTTGACGTAGATTGGGATCTGGGAGTCCAAAAATACATACTTTCAGCGACCAGCGTGTATGCTCACATGACCCCATTCTCCTGACAGCTCGTCTGGGCATCGTTTCTGGATGGGCTGGCTATGAGAAGTAAGCGGCGGAGAAAGGCCACCCAACCGCGCCACAGGACCTCGTCGCCCGCCAGGGTGGCCGGGTCGCCGAACACCACCTCGCGGGCGAGGGGCAGTGCCGGGGACGCTGGCGAAGCTGGCAATCGTCTGAGCCTCTCTCTCTATACATATATATATATATAGATTCCTCTCTCCGTGTCCGACATGTCCATTGTCCGCATCTCGATTTCTGCTTCTCTTTCTCTCTCCAGCTCTCTCTCTCTCTCTCTATCTCTCTCTCTCTCTCTTTCTCTTTTGTGGGTATCCGCCACCGTGCCTGCACGGAATGGGCGTGTAAGAATGCTCGTCTTTTGTCTGGGAAGGTTTTGTAATGTTTTCTAAGGCCATCCCACCCTCCTCGCACGCGTCCCTCTGAAAGCGCCCCCCTGTGAAGTTGGTATCAGGCGCTCTTGTTGACCTCCAAACGGCAAAACTGGTCTCCAAGACGGCTTCAAATGCAATTAAGCTGAAACCAACACTGCCCAAGATGACCCAAAACGACTGAAGAGGCTCCCAAGCCGGCCTCAGCACAGCTCCAAAGGCTGCCAAGACGGGCCACGAGGGCTCCAAGAGGCTCTCCAAGCGAGCCCGAGGAGGCCAAAACCATAGATCATCTGTCGGTTTTTGAACAATTGTGTAATTCTCGCCAGTTTGGGTTCCCTATCGCCCAGAACGGCCCAGGGGCGTCAAGCTAGCTCCGAGACGGCCCATGAGGCCCCCAAGAGGGCCCCTAGTCGGCCCAAAAGGACCCCAAGATCGCCCAACAGGCTTCAAAGAGGGCCCCAAGACGGTCCCAAAGCGCTCCAAGAGGGGATCAAGATGGCCCATAGAGTTCCCCAAGACGGCCCCTGACGGCGTCAGACGGGCTAGTCGCCTCCCTAAGACTCCCCTAAGAGGCCCCAAGAGGCTCCCAATAGGCCCCAGGAGGTCCCCAAGAGGCCCCCAGGATATGCCCCAGAAGGCTCCCAGGAGGCCCGCAGGAGGCTCCAAGAGAGCCCTAAGACGCTTTCTCCTCCCCGTCCTCATTGTCTCCCTCTCCTCCTCCTGCTCCTGCTCTCCTGCTCTCCTGCGCCTCCCCCACCTCCACCTCCACCTCCTCCACCTCCTCCTCCTCCTCATCCTCCTCCTCCCTACCGCGCGGACGAAGATGATATCGGGATTACGACCCTCTCCGATTCAGACCACTCGCTGAGCTGAGCCGACCCCGTCTGTTTATGTTGCATCTTGATCCTCGAAAGATGTCGGCCCCTCCCCCCGAGAGGGGCCGCGAGTCCACCAGGCGCGAACGATCGCCCGCTCCAAGCGATCGCGACACGGCCATCGTGCTGACCATCAAGACGCTGAAGCAGGGGCTCCTTTGTCGGGCGGGCGGCAATGGGGGGTAACCCGAATGGGAGGTGAAGGACATGGCCCCAAAGGGGGCCCTTTAAAGGGCCCGTGTTGGGCACCAGCTGGCTCCTAAAGGGGCCCTAAAAGGGCCCCTTTAGGGGCATTTTCTTCACCCCCCCATTTGGGTCACCCCCCAGTCCGACCAGCCATAACTGGGGGAGCTGTGGTCCTTACCCCCCTGGGCCAGGGGGAACCCATCGCATCGACGATCTCTCGAGAGGGGTGTCGAAGTCGATGGGTCCCCCAGGTGGGCCTGCCAGTGCCTGGCTAGCTGTTGTGGCTGGCCTGCCAGTGCCGCCTGCCCGACTCCAGAGGCCCAGGAGGGGCTCCGGCGTTCTGGCCCCCCCGCCCCCCTGTCACTCGGGTCGGCGGCCCCGTCCGCGGCCGAGGCGTGCCGTGGCCGGAAAAAAGCCCACCAGAAGGAACCCTGACATTATAGGAGGCCGCTACTGGGAGGGCTTCGTCGGAAGGATGTTGTAGGGAGGAGTAAGCCCCTGCCGGAGGCTGCTGCACTGGATTGGGCCGTGGAGCGAGCGGGATCAAGCGGGCTTGAGCGGGACCAAGCCGGATTGAGTGGGACTAAGCCGGATTGAGCCGGATCAAGCGGAACTTCGGGCCAGGGCAAAGTCAGAATTCGACCTCCCAGGAGATGCATCCGAACTTGCACGGGAGCGAGCGGGCACTTCTTCGGGGGCGGCCAAGAGGGGGGCGTCCAAGTGGGGGGGGGTGCAAATCATGGCCGGCGGCATGTGGGCGGCCCTTGGGGGGCCCTTCGGGGTGGGCCAGGGACGTAATGAAATTAGAAGAGGCGCCATGAAACCTGGGGAGATATCATGGCCCACGCCATGATACAGTGCGGGCGCGGCCGAAAGAAACCCTCGCAAGAAACCCAACCCTGAAAACCCGCGCGCGCGGGGTGCCTGAGGGGAAACCTGGAGTACTCTGACCGCAGCCGCGCCTTCCCCGGCTGCGGGAACCCACCGCGCGGCGCGCGGAGCGAAGAAACCCAGGGTACCCTGACGAAAAGCAGATGGTCTCTTGATGCGCGTCCCCTCGGTATCCACACGCCCCTCAGTCAGCACTCCCCTGCTCCTGCTCTCCTGCTCTCCTGCTCTCCTGCTCTCCTGCTCTCCTCCTCCTCCTCCTCCTCCTCCTCCTCCTCCTCCTCCTCCTCCTCCTGCCCCTCCTCCTCCTCCTCCTCCTCCGCCTCCTCCTCCTCCTCCCTCCTCCCACTCCTCCTCCCCCTCCTCCTCCTCCTCCTCCTCCTCCTCCTCCTCCTCCTCCTTCCTCCGCCTCCGCCTCCGCCTCCTCCTCCTCCCTCCTCCTCCTCCTCCTCTCCTCCTCCTCCTCCTCCGCCTCCTCCTCCTCCTCCTCCTCCTCCTCCTCCTCCTCCCCTCCGCCTCGCCCCCGCCCTCATTGCCTCCTCCTCCTCCTCCTCCTCCTCCTCTCCTCCTCCTCCTCCTCCCTCCTCTCCACTCCTCAGCCTCACTCCCCCTCCTCCTCCTCCTCCTCCTCCTCCTCCTCCTCCTCCTCCTCCTCCGTCCTCCTCTCTCCTCCTCCTCCTCTCCCTCCTCCTACGTCCCTCCCCCTCCTCCTCTTTCTTCTCCTCCCCTCCTCCTCCTCCTCACTCCTCCTCCTCCTCCCCCTCCTCCTCCTCCTCATCATCAGCCAGCACTCCCCTCTTGGCCGCCCCCGACTCCTGGCCGCGGCAGGCCTCGGCCACGAGCGCGGCCCCCGACCGGAGCGAGAGGGGCGGCCGGAGGGCCCAGAGCCCCTCCTGGGGCTATCCAGGGGGCCCCTGCGGAGGGGGGCCCTCGGACACACGAATTGATAGACACAAAGAATCGGATTCCCCATAGATTCCAATAGTTTCTGGGTTTTTGTCTTCCCCTCCAGATTCCCATATTTCCCCACATCTTCTGGAGAATCGACGATGAAGTGTGTCTGTGTGTGTGTTTTTGTTCCCCTCCTGACCTGCTTCGGCGCCTGGAGCGCAGGGTGGGCAGCCACGCCCCCGAGGCTCGGTGCCATTAGGCCGAAGGCCACCAGATAGCTCCAGGTCCCCGTGCGCCTCCTCTCTGCCTCCCCATATGCCCCCCTTCCTCCCGCTCCTCCCGCTCGCCTCCCTCGTCCTGCCCTCCCGCGACTCTGCTGCCTCGCTTTCCTGCCGTGGCAAGCCCCTTCCCCCTGCCGCAGCCTGCTGCCGCTCCTGCTCCTCCCGCTGGCCATCGCTCGTACGTCCATTCCAGGTGTTTTTTGATGGTTTCGTGCGTGTTTGTTTCGCCAAATGCTCAAGGATGCTCCTCGATGGTCCTCGCCCAAGGAAACATGCACACGTCCGAGCGATGCCAAGCCCAGGACAGATCTGGGGATTGATCAGCGGACGAGCGACGAGGGCGAGGGAGGACCCGAGGTACACCGAGCACGCGTCAGCGATGCTGCAGTGCACCACCCCGTCTCCTGGACATCGCTCGGACGCCCATTCCCTGTGCTTTTGTTCGATTTCGTGCGTGTCTTGTTCGCCAAATGATCAAGGGATGGTCCTCGCCGAAGGAAAAAATGCACACGTCCGAGCGATGCCAAGTCTCACACCCTTCACCATTGAGTCCCTGACCAGCACTCCCACTCAGTATACGGGCAGCGCCCTCACGGCAGACAAGCACACCATGGGACCGTGAACAAGGCGAGAACTCTGTTTTGAAAAGGATCTGAAACTCAACCGCTGGTCCTGTACAACGTAGTTCAAGGAACTGTCCACCGAGAAAACGATGCCTTCCATACATGTTCAACCTACGGCCGTAGCAATCGAGTACGAATCGAACGACGGCCCATTTCGAAAAGGAACCGCCATTTACCCGTGTAGCCGTTGGACACTTCCAGCTTCAATATCGTCAACGGTGCGTGCAACCCTCAAGTGAAGCGCCCGAACCGCCCTGCCGATCTGTCTGGTAGCCCGACGAAGAGGATCTGCATACAAAAGAAAGGGGTGAAGGAAGGATAAGGAGGAGGAGGAGGAGGAGGAGGAGGCGGAGGACTTGGGGATGCAACTCCTGGGAGGTTACACTCAGCATCGGCTCTGGTAGATCCGCAGTCGAAACCCGCTTCATCCGGCCTAATCCCAGTTAGCTCGGCTTGACCCCCGCTTCATCCAATCTGATCTGGCTCAATAGAGGACTCCTAGATGGGGTCGGAGAAGACGGGGTCGGGGGATCGAGCCGCATCGCCGATACATCGGCGATGTATCGGCGATGCATCGTCGACGTGGGCGATGCATCGGTGACGTCGACGTGAAGCAAACCGGGCTCCACATCGAGCCGCATCGGCGATGCGATGCATCGGCGATGCGGCGCGATTCTCCGACCCCATCTACTCCGACCCCATCTAGGAGGCCTAGATTCAAGGGCCCCTTGATCGGGAATCGAGCTTCGTAGCCCTTCGCCGCCCTTGCGACGAAGACCTCCCAGGAGGTGCTTCCCAGCCTCCCCTGCGCCAGCGAGCGCAAGGCCCCCCCCCCCCTGGCAAGGGCTCTTGGCGCCCCCCGCCACCAGGCCCCGCCGGGCACGGGTGAGCGCCACGTTGGCGCGGCGCGGGTCGCCGAGGAATCCTTCGGGGCGGGCTCCCCCGAAGGCGAAGCCAGAACGAAGACAAACTCGAGTGGGGATACAGTCGAAGCCTACCACAAGGACGCGTGGTGAGGACGCACGACCCCTGGAGGCCGAAGTTGGGGGATTCCTCGCCAGTGAAAACTGCCACGGACGGGCCGCAGAGGCAGAGGCGGGAAGGGACCCACAGGTACCGTAGAAAAGGCGCGCCTCCTTATCGTGGGCGTGGACTGCACATGGGATCTCTGAGTTCCGGCGGCCCTGGAAGATGTCTCGGGCGCCGCGGCCTTCCCAGAGCGTCCCGGAGCACTCTGAGAGCGTTCCAGAACGCTCTGGAACGCATGGATCCTCGTCCCAGCCCCGTCCCATGGCCCCCCCCTCCCAATTGTGGCCGCCCCCCACGAGGAGGGAATGGGGGAGCCCCACCTCCTCGGCAGGCACGACGGAGGGCGCAGCCTCCACGGGCCCAGGTGACAGGGCCCGGGGAGCGACCAACAAACGGCTCAGGGCGAGAGGCCAGCCCTGGGGACTCGCCGTCGCTGCGACGCCCACTCCCCGTGTACATTTCTCTGTTTTCGATGTCGCGCGTGTACGCGTCGTTCATTTCTCATCGTGCTCATTTCTAATTGTGCTAGTTTCGAATTGTTCCTGGCCCCCTAGTGGCCAGGAAGAGGCCCAGGATAGAAGAATGAGAAGTGAGAGGATCTTGCCCCCCCCTCCCCCCAAAACAAAAAATCAAAGAACTCGAATAATCAGAAGTGAACAGCGCGCATTTTCTCGCAAGAAGATCCAGGATGTGTTTCGATGCTGCTCGCCCCCCAACAAAAAAAACACACGCCCGAGCGATGCCGAGGGGAAGGGGCCCAGACCTCCGAGGGGGGTCCACGCGTAACGCGAAAAGCACGATGCTGGCATGCTGGGGAGGAGCCGGAGGTCGGAGGTGCCCCTCCCTTCTTCTCTTTCCCCCCTCCCCCCTCCTGCTGCCCCCCTGCTCCTGCTCCTGCCCCCCCCCCTCTGCGGCTTTTCTTGCCGCCGTGCGGACGCCCATTCCGCGCGCATTCGTCGGCTTCTTGCGTGCACAGTTTCGCAAGGTGGCCCCAAAGACGCCTCGATGGTCCTCGCCGAGGAAAAGCGCACACGTCCGAGCGATGTCAGGTTGTCTGCTCGCGCGCACTGGCGCTACCGCGCGTGCGTGCACGCTTGGATGGCGATGGCCTGTGCTGTGGCTGCTCGCGCGGCGACCCAGAGCGGTCATGCTTGAGGGCCCGGTCCCGCGCGCCTGCTCGCACGTTTGGGCTTACTCCACCTCGTCGCCGCGCGCGAGGCCGCTACCGCTCAAAATTCGGAGGCGGCGATGTGGGCGAATCAGCCAGGGGCGGGCATCACACGCATTGGTCCGGGAGCCTCGCCGAAGACATGAGCCATCGGTGCCCCAGGCTACACGGATTGCTCCCCCCGGGCTATTTATCTTTGTTGTAGCCGTCGCCACCGGAAAATTTGCGCTGAAACGCCAACTGGCCACCGGCGGCCCCGAAGGGGGGCGCCTCCTGCTCTCTGCCCGCCCCCTCCTGGCTCCTGGTTCCTGCTCCTCGCGCGGTTCCGCGCACTCCGCCCCCTGTCCCCCCCACCCACCTCATCGTTCCACCTGCCTCCTGCGACCCCTGGCCGCCGCCGCCAGGCCAGCAGAGCCCGCCCCCTCCGCCGCCTGGGCGCCGGCCACCGCCCTGGGGGCCAGCGCTTGCGGCGCCCGCCAGGGGCCGCTCCCTCGGCGACCTGGAGCCGGAGCCGAAGTCGTCGAAAACGTCCGCCCATGGGGTCCGCTTCGGTCACCGCGGCCGCCGTTGCCGCCGCCGCGGCCGCCGCGGCGGAGAGCGCCGGCGGGGCCGAGCCCCCAGCTACCGCGCGCGCGGCTTCGCCTCCGCCCGCGGCGCCCCGTCGCAACCGCCCAGGGGGTGGGGCGCCCTCGCGCCGCGCCGCACCCGCCAACGTCGGAAGCAGTCGGGGTCGAGGCCCTGCGCGCGCGGCTCGATTTGTGGCCCGGCGTCGCTGGCCCCAGGGCGCGCCGGAGCGCGTGCCGGCACTGCGGGTTCAGCTGGCCATCGCTTCTCGCGCGCGCAGCAGGGGCGCCCAGGAGGTCTGCCCCGAGGCGAAGCCAGACCGCGGCGACGAACCCCGCGGGGGACAGCGCAGCGTCGCCGACCGCCTTCAAGAGTCAAGACCCACAACCAGCGATGGTCAGTATCGGGGTGCTTCATGTTGTCGAGGATCTGGCCGCCCTCTCAATCCTCGGAATCACGCGCGCTGGCTCGCATGGCCGCCGGGCGGGGGCACCCTGGCCAGGCGCGACTGCAAGCCCTCCCCCGCGTCCGGGTACTCGGGGTGCCATTGGGGCCGCGCAGGAGGAACGTGCCGGCGGCGCGCGTCGCCATCCCCGGCCCGCCCCCGCGGCAGGAACCCGGCGACCCGCGCGAGGCGCCGCGCGGCCTCGTCGGCCCCCGCCTCGAGGCCCTGCTTGGCCACCTCGGCGACAGCGGCGGGAGCTGCGCGCGCCGCTCGCCCAGGGCCGCGCGCGTCGTGGCAGACCAGCGCGCGAGCAAAAGGTCGCGGACGGTGCATGACAGCAACCGCGCCAGGTCCTCGGCCAAGCTGCGCGCCTGTCCTGCTAGCCAGGAAAGAAGGCAGGCGCAGGTCCGCGGCGACCCCCAGCCCCGAACTTCCGGCCTGCGCGGCCCCCGACGCCTGCGACCACGCCCTGTCGGAGAGCGGCACCCCAAAATGGTTCCCAAGGGCCGGCCCGAGCGGCCAGCGACCCAAGCAGCCGGGCGGGCAACGCTCTTGAACTGGCCGCCCGCCACGCGCGTGCCGCCCGCCGCGGCGAGTTCTGCATTGCATCGAAGGCGCGCAAATAGATGGCCGTCGCCCATACGCCAAGCGTCCCGCACCCACCCGCCCGCCGCTTCCACGGCCCGCCTGCCGGCCCCGGCACGGCACAGCGCGGCAAAACCATGGCCACTGCCGGGCAGAGGGGGTCGCCCTGCTCCGCGCCCCCGTCACAAGCGACCCAGCGCCCACATGGCAGGCGCAGCTGGGCAGACTGGCCGCGGCACCAGCACGTCCACTCCACGAGCCCCGGAGCGCACTCTTCGCCAGCTGAGCGGATCGCGGCCCACTCCAAGGACGGGAAGGCGTTCCAGAGGTCGAGGTCCAGCAGGGCCAACGCGCCCTCCATGGACTTCATGGACGGCGCGGCCTGCTCCAAGCACGGGCGGAGGTGTATCAGACCCTCAGCGCCGCCGGGCAACCGCACGCCGCACTGCCGGCGCGCCAGGAAAAGCCGCTGGAGAGCGTCGCGCTGGTCGGCGACTAACTTTCTAGCCACAACCCGCATGGGGATGGGGATGGTGGTCGGTTAAACGATACTGAGGCGTGCGCGAAAGCAGGAGACCTGCAGTTCCGGCGCTCAGGGGGCTCTCCTCCTCCTCCTCCTCCTCCTCCTCCTCCTCCTCCTCCTCCTCCTCCTCCTTCTCCTCCTCCTCCTCCTCCTCCTCCTCTCCTCCTCCTCCTCCTCCTCCCCCTCCTCCTCCTCCTCGCGCAAGGCCCACTGCCAGAGGCTGCAGGCGGCGTGCGACACCCCTGGCAGCATGGGGCGGCCTCGGCCCTGGCAGGTCGCCCCCCTCTGCTGGCAGCTGCGCCATCATGGCCAAGGGACTCGGCTCCCTTCGCCAGCGCGGTCGGCCTCACGCGGGGTCTGGCTGACCCTCCTCCTCCTCCTCCTCCTCCTCCTCCTCCTCCTCCTCCTCCTCCTCCTCCTTCTCCCTCCTCCTGCTCCTGCTCTCCTCCTGCTCCTGCTCCTGCTCCTGCTCCTCCTGCTCCTCCTGCTCCTCCTGCTCCTCCTGCTCCTCCTGCTCCTCCTGCTCCTCCTCCTCCTCCTCCTCCTCCTCCTCCTCCTCCTTCGCCAGCGCCAACTGACCAGGCCGCTCCACGGCGTCAACGTGGCCGAGCGCTGCAGGCGCGGCTGCCGCAATGGGGGGGCGCCAGCCGGCGCGAGCTCGAAGCGCCCGAGAATCTGGCTTGCCTGGGTACACGCAATGCGGGACACACAACAAAAATACTCGACGGGAAGTGTTTCGCTGTTTTCGACCTCTGGGGGTCCTCGGCCGCGAACTCCTCTTGCGCGTGGCTCGGGAGGCTTTCGTTTGCCTCCGCAGGCGGTTCGATTTGCCCATCAAGACCTTCCCAGAAAGATGAGGGAATTCGACGACTTCGCTTCGGTTTTCCCCGTCGGATTTGGGGCTGGCATGAGCGGACAAAGGTAAGATTCTCATGGTGCGTCGGCGGCTGCCAGGTCGCTGCCGTGTAGGTACTGGGCCTGGTGTGACCAGGGTATGCCAGTGGACGAGTTTTGCATTTCTCCGAGGGCATGAGTTCAAAGTCGCATCAGCTGCAGGTCAACCGAGTGATCTGCCCGTGAGCAGGTCAGTGCCATAATGCTGCGCTTTGCAACGCGGCGTCGGTGACTCGAACTTCGTGACTGGTGGTATCTTCTGTAGATGGCCCCTGGGCCTCAGACCTTCAGTGGACTGAGCATTCCTGACGGGCTCGGTGCTGGTTGTGGCATTGACGCCTCCAATGTCAAAGGGGCATTGTCATGTGTCATGTGTTGATCGCGTGCGAGGTTGTCGAAGTGTTCGTTGGCTTGTCGCGTTCTTGCGCCGAGCTACGCGCGCACCCGACTAGCTCGCGGGTCAAAGCAGGCCCGTCGTCTCCCCAGCCCCGCCTGGCCTCCAGTTGCCACTGTTGGCCGCCAGGAGCAGCAGGATCGGGGAGACGTAAGACTCGGGTACGGGGGACTCGGGTTG